ATATTTATTCATTATGTATTTCGTTATCCTTGATATTTATTTTAATGTCCTATTTTTGTTTCTAGATTCATTCAACTACAGCACAAGTTCTAATAGATATAATTACTATTTCTCAATCGAGTAATCCCGAACAAGGTGGCGTTGGGCCAAATGCATTAAGTAGAGAACTTATCAGGTATGCTTTATTTGAATTGTTTCACATGCTTAATATTAATTAATATACATGTATCTATAACAGTGAAAAAACTGTGGCTCGACTTGTAAATTATATGCTTGACTTGGAGGCTCCAAATTCAACATCTACTTTGACTAATGGAGTGAACATACTTATGCAAATAATTCAAAAAAACAATTGGTATGCTAAACCAATTTTATTAAATTGCACTCTTTAATGCTTTTCGCAACATAAAATGATTTCATTTATATGTTTGCATTTTTCGAAAAATTTTAGTGATTTTAATGAGGAATCAACCCCTACGTTGTCTCCGCATCAACCACACCCTATTGTTGATTTAAGCGATATGTTACGAGTATTGGCTAACCGGATAGGAGACTTCAAATCATTGCTTGAAAATCCAAAATCAGTGGTATGATGCAATTAATTGTATACAAATGAAATACATGTTTTCTAACCAAATTAAATTTAAAAGTCAGGACAAATAGATACAACGATAGGTAAAATGGTACCTCTTGGATTTGAAAGATTTAAAATTTGTGAACTTTTTGCAGAATTATTGCATTGTTCCAATATGAGTTTGTTAAATATTGTTCGGCATGAAGTACCTATTAACGGGTTTTATGGATTGGAGGATGTTGAGGGTTATCAAACAAACGAGATCGGAGGAATATTTCAAATGCAAGAAAAAGACAATAGTCAGACAGTTCAAACAAGTCGTATTGGAGAAGACTTTCAAATCCAAGAAAAAGATTATAATCAGACAACTCAAACAAATGAAATTGGGGAAGTTCTTAAAATCCAAGAGAAAGATTCTAGTCAGACAACTCAAGCAAATAAGATAGAGGTGGA